ATTTCTTAGACAAAGGAGTAAAAGCAGCAAATAAATATATGAAAAAATGTTCAACATCACTGGTCATTCGAGAGATGCAGATGAAAACAACACTTGAGGGCCGGGGATTTAGCTCAGTGGTTTCACCACCTGCTGTGTAAGCGCAAGGACCTGAGTTCGATCCCTGGTACCAAAAAAAAAGAAAACAACACTTGAGATTCCACCTCACCCCAGAAAGAATGGCTGCTATCAAGAAATTAACCGATAACAAATGCTGGTGGGGCTGTGGGGAGAAAGGAACCCTTCTCCGTTGTTGGTGGGAGTGTAGACTGGTGCAACCACTATGGAAATCAGTGTGGAGAAACCTCAAAAAACTCAGGCTAGAGGTCCCATTTGATCCAGCTATTCATTCCCCTGCTGGGTGTTTTCCCAAAAGAGTTAAAAGAATCATACCACAGAGATATATGTCTACCCATATTTATAGCGGCACAGTTCGTAATAATTTAAGCTTGAAAACAGCCCAAGTGGGGCCGTGGATTTAGCTCAGTGGTTTTGCCGCCTGCTGCGCAAGCGCAAGGACCCAAGTTCGATCCCCGGTACCAAAAAAAAAAACAGCCCAAGTGCCCATCAACTGGAAACTAGATAAAGAAGATGTGGTTTTTGTAATAAAATGAAGTACTACTCAGCCGTAAAGAATGAGAAACTAGAGACATTTATAGCTAAATGGATGCACATTGAGGCAGTACTCTTAAGTGAAATAAACAGGACACACGTGTAAATCCGAATAGTTTCTCTAATGTGAGAAACTGAAAGTGTAAAAAAGGATTAAAATGAGTAATAGATAATTTGAAATAGGAAGAAAAGTTTCAAAGGGGTAGAAGTGGGAGGGGTAGGAGAAAGGAAAAATTAGGAGAAAAGAAAAAAATGGAAACAAGGTCTATTTAAATAGGGAAGAGGGGAAGGGCACACAGGGAATGGGGAAAAAATAAGAACCAAGATCCATGATGTACAGGTACAGGCATCCAATGATAAATGTAAATGTATTATATACCTAAAATGTACCAATAAAAGAACTTAAGCAAAAAAAAAAGTGGAAGAGGCAAGATTACACAAAAGGAAGATGAGAAAAGAGAAAAAATCCAATTAAAGAATAAAAAAGTAAATACAAGTAGAGAAAAGTAAGAGGAAAAGTAGAAAAAGAAAAAAGAAAAGAATAAGAAATGAGCCAGCTATCATGACTTTCTATGAGAGCCCACGCTGTGTTTCCCACAGCAAGTTTATCTTTGCTCTCTCCCTCTTTTTCTATTTACTCGGTCCAAACTCACTCTGCAGAGCCAGTTTGTCTCTCTCTCTCTCTTCATTTTTGCTTTCTTTAATAAATTTTGCCGCTGTTTTTTGCTCCAAAAAAAAAAAAGAGCCTGGAAAGTCCCTGCACACGAGGCGATTGGTGCAGTTCCCATGCAGCACTGGCATCCTGGAGCCAGGTGTGCTGGGCCCCGTGTGAGCTGAGCTCTGCCTGTCTTGTGGGCAGGTGACACGGTGACCACCTTGGGGCTGTGCTCCTCCAGAGGCGGATTAAGGTTGGTTCCCTTCTGTGCGGGAGCTGCTGCTGTCCCCAGCTGGCCCCAGCCGTGCCCCTCTCCGTGCAGAAGCCCTGTCCACGCTCCTGGGGGTCCCAAGCAGGACGCAGATTGGGGAACCCTGTGCTGGGTTCTGAGCTGGACAGGGCAGCGATGGGAACCAGGAAAGCTCCAGGGCCTGACTCCATCATCCCCCAGCCACCCCAGAAAACCCACGCAGCAGACCTGGCTTCTCACTGAGCCCCACAGCCAGGTGCCCCCCTGCGTGAACTTGCTGGTTTTGACTGATCTTCCCCGGTCCGAAGCAGCCTCTCTGTCCAGTCATGTGGCAGTGTCACCAGGGACCCTGAGGTGCAGTGGTTCTGCAACTTCTAATCACCATGTACACTAGCTCAGCCTCAAATGGTAAACTCCTCTCGGGACAGCTTCTGTCACACTGCTCGAAGGCATGGTGAGGGCATTTCCTCTCCACAGCCCGCCCTGGAGCAGTCACTTCCAGAGCCAGTCCCCATGCTGGACTCCTGGCTTGCAGGAGCCCCAGCTTTCTCCTGCAGTGCAACGCAGCTGCAGCTGCTGTTCCTCATTCAGTGCCAGCTCTCAGGCTCAGCCAGTGCTTGGGGATCAGCTGGGAGGCAGACTGCTCCCTGCTTGTCTCTGCATTGCCTTTCTGTCTCTGTACTTTTTAGCTTTTTCTCACCTCTTGATTCCCTGAGCTCTTTCTCTCTTCTCAGAATGTAGTTGCTCCTTTCCTATTTTTAGCTTTTCACTTGCAGAGGATTCTTTTTTTGTTGTTGTTTTGTTTTTGTTTTTGGTACTGGGGATCAAACTCGGGTCCTTGCACTTGCACAGCAGGCGGTGAAACCACTGAGCTAAATCCCCGGCCCTGCAGAGGATTCTTCTGTTCCACCATCTTACCTGAAACTCCCGGGTCTTCCCACTGAGTTACAGCCCCTACCATCTTTTCTTTTTCTTTATTATTTTGAATCAGAGTATTGCTAGATTTCCCAGGCTGGGCTTGAACTTGCACTCATCTTGCTTGCCTGAGGATGGCTGGATTATAGGTGCGTGCCACCACACTTGACTCAACATCTCCCATCCATCACAGCCCCGTCCCCACACCACAGGTGGAGTTGACGTAGAGCCCTGGACCCTGGCCATCCATCCCTGAAGGAGCTGGCCCTCTCTCCTCGTCTCTGACCACTCTTCTGTGCCTTCTGGTAGCGGAGGCTACAGCTCACTTTCAGTTTACCACCTTGCGTCCTCCTTACCTGAAGCTCGTGACCGCCATTTCCTCACTGGGCACCTCAGTCCCTAACGAAAGTCCCTCTGACTACCACTTCCTGTCCCTGGCTTGCGTTAATCTGAGTTTGTAATTGGGTACTTGTGGGATTGGTTTGTGTTGTGTGGAAGCCTGAGGACCTGCTTCAGCTTGGCAGGCACAGCATGTGGGAGAGGGGTTAGGGCGGGGCGGATGGACAGTAACCAGTACTGTAATGGAGCGGAGGGCCAAATGGAGAGTGAGGAGAGAGAATTCACTGTGTTGGGATCTGGGACAGAGCCCCTATCGTGTGAACTGAACTGCCTAGTAGTGAGTTTTCAGATTTATCTCCTGTTCCTCTTGTTCTATCAGAAATATAATCTGATTTAACTGAAAAAAAAAACACCTTACTGTTATAAAATATGAAGCCTTGGTCAGATTTTATTTCAGCTCTCTATAATAATAATTTGTTTTTAATTCACAATTTAATGCAGGTGAAAAATCTAAATTTTTATGATGTTGTTCTGGATTTTATATTAATGGATTCCTTTGAAGATTTAGAAAATCCGCCCACGTCCATACAGAATGTAGTAAATAATCGCTGGCTAAACTCTTCCTTCAAAGAAACTGTAAGTGGTGATTTACCTTTCTTAGCCATTTAAATTTGATGAAAAGTGGTCAGAACTGGGCTGATTAATGAGATTTACACATTCTGTATTCTCCCTGTGGAATGACTGGTGTGGGAACCAGACTCATTCTCTGGCATTGGGGTCAGATATGTACAATTTCTGACACTTTTTTTTTGGTACCAGGGATCGAACTCAGGACCTTTTGCTTGCAAGGCAGGTGCTGTGCCTCCGAGCTAAATCCCCAACCCAGCTTCTGACACTTTGGTGTGAATTCTCCTTTTGGCCAACCAACCCTTGTCCTGTAGAACTGTTTCCTCAGATCTCTACAGAAATTTAGATTCAGATTAATTCAGGCCTAACAAAAAACCAACTACAACAGAACTGGCTGAAATATAGCAGTTACGGTTTTGTAAAAATGGCAATCTGTATTCTTAAGAAGAAAGTACAGAAATTCATGTTTCTAAATACTGTCAAAAATTAGGAGAGAAAAGATAGGTGCAAAAATACGACTGGTGTAAACTGTACTTTATACTTGTAATGTTTTCAGTTTTTCAGTTTCTATTTCTTTTGGTACTGGGGGTCGAACTCAGGACCTTGCATTTTCGAGGCAGGCGCCAGAACCACTGAGCTAAATCCCCAGCCCAGTTTCTATTTCTTTTTATGTTGAAATCTGTTTGACACTGGTTTTTGTTGCACCTTACAAGTGTGCACCTAGAAATAGTGAGGTGTAGGTATCATGTTTAAATGAAATTTGAATGCCTTTTAAAAAAGCTCTATCTGGGCGAGGTGGCACATACCTGAAATCCCAGCACCCAGGAGGCTGAGACAGGAGAATTGCCGTGAATTTGAGGCCAGCCTGGGCTACATAGTGAGTTTAAGGCCAGCTTGAATTACAGAGTCAAAAAAGTGCTTGTTCCTCATGTCTGTAACTGATCAGAGTTGAGTCATATGAGAATAGGGTTATGTCTCTTCAGGATCTTCTGAAGAAATTTTGCTTTTTTGTCCTGTCATGCTTGTAATTTCTTAGATCTTGAATAAAAGTCTTCACTCAATCCACAGATATTTCAGCGATACTATTCTTGAAGGAAAAATACTACTTTATCTTTATTATTATGCAGAGCACATATATTTGTGTATTCTACATGGGTATATTTTCACTTTTTCCCCATAATAATAGAGCTTAAGAACTCTTGAGAATTGCATAGCAACTGACAAGATCCTTGGTACTAAAATTCAGCCTTTTTCCCTTAATGGCTTTGTATTTAATTTTAAAATGTATATAACTGAAGCATCTTTTCATTACAAACAATGTAAGGAGCCAGGGCCAGGGATTTAGCTCAGTGACACCGTGCCTGTCTCTAAAGTGCAAGGTCCTGAGTTTGATTTCCGGTACCCACCCCCCAAAATAGTTGAACAAACAATATAAGGAGCTGGGACTAGTTTTTATTGGTAGTTAATAGCTTGAACTTTTTAGAACCATAATCTGAATTAGAGTAAAAAACACTTTTTTTTTCTAAGTGCAGCATTTCTGTAGCTGTGAAGTTAATGGTGCTTTTCTCCTCTGCATGTGCTTAGGCTGTGGCTTCCAGTTGTTGGTCCGTGCTGAAACAAAAAAGGCAGCAGATGCAGGTAAGGGACTGTCTATGTCTGCTTTTCACTGTGCACTGTGTTGCTGTAACACAACACCGGAGTCTAGGTAATTTGGCAGGAAAGAAGTTTACTAAAGGCTGGGAAGTCCAGGATCTGCCCGCTGCCTCAGGAAGGAAAGGAGGGCAGGACACTGGGACACCCTTGCTTCTGGTCTGGCTGGTGCAGAGCAGAGCGCCTTTGCTGGGGAAAAGCTCTAGGAGTTCCCAGTTCCGGGGTTCCTCATGAGCCAGGCATCCCCCCAGGTGCCGCCTCTGGCCCTGCTGCCTCAGAGACCTGGTGGGGCCTATGGAAGTGTGCCTTTCAGCTTGCCCTCTCTGAACTCCCAGCACAGAGGAGTATTTAGAACTTTAACGACTGCTGAGCATCTTAGACTAGAATAACTTGGGTGCATTCCTGATGAGTTCAGCCTTCACTAACCAGCTACGTGTAATTTGGGGCAGGTTGTTTAACCTCTCGCTTGTCACATACTTAAAGTGATGTTAATGTGACCTACTTTTGCAGGAATGTGTTAGCAAATTAAACCGGACCTGTGTATTGTCTGGAATGTAATGAGTCCCCATGAAATGGTAACTGCATCTGTTTTTTGCTGCTGCTGTTGTTGAGACTGGGTCTTACTGTGTATCCCAGGCTGGCCTTGAACTCCTGCCTCAGCTTCTGCAGTTCTGAGGTTACAGATATGCTGTCACCATGCCCAGCCATTTATCTTTTTTTTTTTGTACCAGGGATCAAACTCAGGACCTTGCGCTTATGAGGCAGGTGGCAGAACCACTGAGCTAAAACCGGGGCCCATTTATTTTTTTTAAGTGAGGTTTAAAAGATTGCCCTGGAGACTATAAAATAGAAACTAATCCCCCCAAAGACAGAACTCTAAGGCATGGAGGTCCACAGTAAGTGCTTTTTGACAGAACCTGAAAGTCAGAAAGTTACTGATAAACTTAGTTTCCTAAGACACAAATATATGTACTAGGAGTTCATAGGAGGAGGTAATTATACAACTAAATGTTTAAATAATACTAGATTTCTTTCTTTCTTTCTTTCTTTTTGGTACCAGGGATCAAACTCGGGACCTTGCGCTTGCTCGGCAGGCACCGGAACCGCTGGGCTAAAGCCCGGCCCTAGATTTCTTTCTTAAATGCTAGGTTTCTAAGCATAATTTAGTGCTTAAACTTGTTTTAGTATTTTTCAATTAATACACTTAAGTGATTGAGTCAAACTTTTAAATAGTTGGAACCATGAGAGCTGTAAGACTCCTGAAAATGATGTGGCTCGGGGACACTAATGCTGTCATTGCTGGGTTCCAAGACTACGATTGTTGAAGTAGATCCTGAGTATCCCTAATTTGTTTTTTTTTTTTTTTTTGGTACCAGGGATTGAACTCGGGACCTTGCGCTTGCGAGGCAGGCACCGGAACCACTGAGCTAAATCCCCGGCCTGAGTATCCCTAATTTGAAAATAAAAAATCTGAGATGCTCTAAAACCCAAAAGGTTTTGAGAGTCAGTCTGACGAGTGGAGAATTTCACACTGAACTTCATAGGCTGCTGCTCAGTCAGAACGATGGTGCACCAGAAGTAGTGCAGTGTCCTCAGGCTGTGTGTGTAAGGTGTGCATGAAATATGACTGAGTCTCGGGTTGTAGACTGGGACCTCATCCCCAAGATGTGTCATTGTGTATATGCAAATATTTCAACATTAGAAAACAGATCTGAAATACTTTGGGCCCTGAGCATTTTGGATAAGGTGTATTTCTTTTTTTTTTTTTTTGGTATCAGGGATCGAACTCAGGTCCTTGCGCTTGCGCAGCAGGCAGCGAAACCACTGAGCTAAATCCCCAGCCCAAGGTGTATTTCTATGCAGTGAAAAATGCCCTTAAAGAAATAATGTTTCAGGTAGGCGTGGTTGCCTATAATCTCAGCACTCGGGGAGGCTGAGGCAAGAGAAGCACAAGCGCAGCTTCATAAGTCCAGCTCGGGCAGCTTAGTGAATTTGGAAGACCATGTCTCAAAATAAAAAATTAAAAAGGGTTGGGGATTTAACTTAATGTAAAGGCCCTGGGTTCAATCCAGTACTGGCCAAAATATCAGCACACCTGAAACTGTTGGCTGGGATATGAAATCTACATAAAAACAGTCTTTGACTCTTAAAAGTTACTTGTGCATTTATTAAATTTTTGAATAGGCTGGCTCATGAGTGACCCTTGGTCTGGCCTCAGAAAAAGTTGGTCATAGCCAGGCATGGTAGTGCATGTCTATAATTCTAGCACTCTGGGAGGCTGAGGCAGGAGGATCAAAAGTTCAAGGGGCAACTTGGCAGTTTAGCAATATCCTGTCTCAAACAATTTTAAAAGGTTGGCGATATAGCTTAGGGTCAAGATCCTGGGTTCAATCTCCAGTACTGAGGGAGGGGTCATATCATGGGCAACAATCTCAATTTCTCTCCTAGAGAAAGAAGTATAAGAAGATAGAAATAACCAGATTCTCTTTACTTCCTAACAGATCCCAGATGGGTTCTTTGCCCATTTTTATGCCATTTGTGAGCACATAAGCCCTGTCCTGGCCTGGGGCTTTTTGGGACCTAGAAATTCTCTCTATGACTTATGTTGTTTCTTTAAGGTATGTTCATCATTGAATCATTGCTTTTTTTTTTCTAAATCAAAAAGTGGACAAGGGTTTATCCTGTTTTATTTTTGATTCTGTAGAAGAAAGAATGTTATTTTAAAATGTTATTTAGCCAGGTGTGGTGCATGCCTGTAATCCTACCACTCAGGAGGCTGAGGCAGGCGGATTGCCATGGATTGCCATGAGTTTGAGGCCAAGATGGGCTACATAGTAAGTTTGGGGCCAGCCTGAACTACATAGCGAGACCCTGTCTCAAAAAAAAAAAAAATTTATAAAAGTCACCTAAGTCCATTGTTTAAATGCCGGTATTAAATTAGTGGCATTTCATAACACCTCTGCCACTGTACCTGACCGGTGCTCTGGGTTGATTTTGTGCCTTGTTCTAGAGTATTTAGTGTAGGTGCCTACCGGGCAAGCACCTCCACCCTGTCAGCTCTGTGCTGGTCTTCATGGTCTTGCTATGCACAGTTGTTCTTTAAGCCTGGACACTCGCACGCATGGCACTACAGAAACAAGCCCCGGCTCAGTGAGACGCAGACGGGAGCCTAGAGCGGTGTCCAAATGTCAGGAGTTGGTTTTCCAAACCCAAGTTACAGCTCACTGCAAAACTGGTGAGTGACGTGCCAGGCAGACTTAAGGTAATAGTGTAGCTTTGAGCTGAGGTCAAGGAGCAAGTAGGAGTAAATGTGACTGGGCCCGGGATTTAGCTCCGCGGTGCTGCCACCTGCCTCACAAGCAAAGGTCCCGAGTTCGATCCCTGGTACCAAAAAAAAGAGTAAACATGACTGAGTCTGAGTCTGAAAGTTCCATGACTCACTGTGCAATGTACTTTTGAAAATCACAAATGGCTGAGTGTGCCGTTGAGGGATTGTTGCCTTTTCTGTGGCCCAGAAGTGACTGAGCACATGCTGGGGCCAAGGCTCCGACGACTCCTGGTTCCGTCTGGAGGGTCTGCGGAGGATGCGGAGTGCAGCCTTCTGCTCGTCGACACTGTTTGTAGCAGACGGGATGAAGAGCTCCTGCGTCTGCTGTTCAGAAGGCCCCTTCCATGCCACCGTATTGCAGGGCTTTGGTGCTGAAGACTTGCCGCTCGCTCAAAATGAGTTTCAGCATAAGACCGACTTACTGATACAAACACTACGATCTTCGCTGCTTTGAGAGTGGGGATTATTTGTATTTTTCCTGTTTTCGCCCAGAGCATGCGCCTTTCAGAGGTCTCTGTGCTGAGGAAAGGACCTGCTGCTCGGGTGCGGGAGCGGGGCTGGAGTGGGGCTGGAGTGGGGCTGGAGTGGGGCTGGCACGGCGCTGCAGTGCGCTCGGTTACAGGTGCACCTCGGTCACAGAGGTGGTGATTATTATTACTAATTATTATTACTATTTTAGCATCAGGTCAGCCCTGAGTGGTAAAGAGGGCGGGTGGGATTGTCCCTCTCTTTACAGAAAGAAAATTTTAAAGATGAGTCCCGAAAAGGTGTAAAAAATCTTGCTCAAGATGGTTTTCTGCCCGCCGAGAGGCCCACGTTGGCCGACCGTGCAGTTGGTCAGAGATCGGTCCTGGGGCACCTCGCTCGGGCTAACAAACGCTGTCTGCTGTGCTCCTTTCCAGAGCCAAGTCCTCTTCTTCCTGAAGGACATCTTTGACTTCGAGAAGGTGCGCTACTCCAGCGCAGAGATGCTGGCCGAGGACCTGCTGCAGCTGCTCCTGCGCCGCACCGAGCTGCTGCTCGCTTGCCTGGGCGCCGACGGCCTGCGCCTCCCCAGCGGCTGCGCGGGCGGCCGCGGCCACCTGGTGTCCCCGGGGCTGCTGCAGGCCAAGGTGCAGTGAGGGCCCCGGCGCGGCTGAGGCGAGGAAGCCTGTGGAGAAACGCGCGGTTTGGGCAACGGCATCGCCTCGGGCTCGGGAGGCGGACAGCCAGCCGGGAGTGACCTCTGCGGGGCAGCAGAACTTGGTGGACGAGCCGTGTCCCGGTCCTCTCTCATCGCGGAGCGTCTGACGCGGGCATGCGGCTGTTTCCTCGGATGGACGCGGCCCCCGGACTGACTCCCGGGCCGGGCCACGGTGCTGCCTGAGCTGCTTTCCACCCACCCGAGCGAGCGAGCGAGCGAGCGAGCGAGCGAGCGAGCTTCACTTGCGGTGTAAGTAGATTTAGGCAGTCGTGGTGTCGCTGTGTACTGCTTAGCTATTGTTTGTGCACTTATTTATGTATTTGCATCAAAGTAATCGGAAAACAGTACTGTTGTGAATCATTTAAATGGACAGACACTGAGAAGTTCACAGTTTACAACTTTAGTTTTCAAAATCTGTTAACTCTTGGTCCTGTAAGTCACACTAAAGAGACCCGAGTACTTTATCTTTTTATATAATCTTGTCTCTTGAATGAATATTGACCTAAAATATAACATTTGTTTACCAAGAAAGGCAGTTAAAGTTTTACCCTTTTTGAGTGAAGTTTGAGACCGGCTCCCAGCATCTGAAGATAGTAAATGTAAAGACACCAAAATCCTTTCTCCTTTGTCCCCCCCCAGAATGGTCCCTTAGCTGTCCCCACGGGGGTCAGCGCCCTGGGAGTTTGGCACATTATGCCCGCGTTTTAGGGAAGGCTTTTGTTTTCGCCTCTGATAGAGAACAAAATATTTTTAATGATAAAGTATATTTTGTGTCCTTACAATGAGTGTATGAACGAATGGGTTTTCTCATGAGAGTCCTCACGAGTTAGATACTTCGAGCTGCGTGAATTCTGCTTCTAAATCAGATCCTACTTGTGTAAAGTGACGGACTCAGTGTGATGATGGGTTAGATTTGTCCATTTTGCTCCTTATGTCGGCTTTATTCATTTTAGAAGTGAGTGACACAGAAGGATCTAAAAAGCATTTTTTAAAATGCATTTTTAGGCCGGGGATTTAGCTCAGTGGTGCCGCTGCCTGCCTTGGAAGCGCAAGGACCCAAGTTCGATCCCTGTACCCTAAAAAATACATTTTTAGATTGAAGTGCCTAGTTTCAGATTAATGAACAGAATAGGAAAAGTGAAAAAAGGCGTCCTTTTTAAGATTCTAAGTTTTATGTATGTGCCACAATTACATGAAGTGACTACAAGGTATAACTTTGAGAATCATTGTAGAGTTTTGAATGTACTGTGTAGATTAGAATATTACAAATATGAAGCATTACTCTTAATTATTTTAGAATATAAAGCTCTGTGACGTTTTCTTATTATTTGTTCTGCTTTGTTTCGTTGGTTTGTTGTTTTGGTTTTTTTTTGAGACAGGGTCTCACTAAGTAGTTCAGGCTGGTCTCAAACTCTTGGTGATCCTCCTGCCTCAGCCTCCCTAGTGCTGGGATTACAGGAATGCACTACCACACCGGGCCCTGACTTTCCTTATACAGTGTAGTTAACAATTGCCTGTTCAGTTCTCACTGATGGAGGAGTGTGATTAGAAGAACCAAAATGAAACATCCCATTATGTAATGTTTTGGTTTTTGTTAGCTGTTTTGACCTTGTTGAAATGTCACTGGCCTAGACTGAAACACACACACACACACACACACACACACACACACACACTCCCACCACCATGTAGGCAGGACACTCACTGCTAATATTAGTTTACTCACTTTAGGGCTAAATGTTTTATGCTGTGGTTTTATAAACAAAGGTATGAGTAAACTTCATTTTTTTATTTGAGAAAGATACTGTTTGAAGTCACTTGAAGAATTGCACTATTTAATAATGCTGCTACTACTACTTAAGATAACTCTGGGGAATTTGTTTCATCAGATAAATGACTTTCTAGAAGGTGGATTTTTATTTTGTATTTCTTTTTTCTTTTCTCTTAATTTCTAGGGTTTTTTTGTTTTTTGTGGGTTTTTTTCGAGACAAGGCCTCACTATATAGTCCATGCTAGGCTGGCCTTGAACTCACTCTGTAGCCCAACTGGCCTTGAACTCAGAGTGATCCTCCTGCCTCAGCCTCCCGAGTGCTGGGATCACGGGTGTGTACCACCATGCCCAGTTTATGGTGATTTTTTTTTTTAAGGAAACATCTTCCTGAAAAGAACATCTCTGACTGCAGAAGGGTACTTGAAACATACCAGTTTTCATTTGGCTTAAAAAGTTGGATTAAACAACAAACGCAGTGCTTTACAAAGTACAAATGATTAAACTCAACCAGAGCTTTAGGCCATCGGGCCCTCGCCAACCTGGGGAAGGCAGTGCCTCATCTCGGGAGGAAAAAGCGAAGGCTCAGGTGATTCATGGCCGGCATTTCCTTTTCCTGTTTTCGTTCTCTGCCCTTTTGTGTACTCACAAAGTAGGTCTCCTTCCCAATGGTTAACAGTATGTTTATCAACTGTCAAAATGGAACTGACTTCATAAAAAGAAACTAAGCCTTCCGTATTGTTGGAGTCAGCTCCAAAGAATGATATTCTCCAAGAATAGTATTCTACATTTGCATTCACTTACTGTGAGCCTATTTGTGGAATTATCTGACTGTCAAAAGTATTTACAAATGTTTTCTTGCCTTACGATGTAACCTTTTCTACATAATTTCCAAATGAATGTGAGTGTGTCATTTCTTGAGGCCTAGGAAATAGAAATGCCAAAGTAATAGTTAATATCCTTCCCGGGACCTTTCACAACCAGAAATCTAAGTTACGTTTGTCGTTCACTTTTATTTTGATGTGAACAGGTGTTCAGAAATCAGTTGGGATGGAAATTTCAGAGTATTGTAAGAATTAGGCTGAATTCAGATCTTTTGTTTTTTATTTGGATTAATCAGATTAAGAAATACGTATGTGAGATGTAAAACTTTATATAGAGTATGTCATAAACGGAAATAAGGACACCCCCCTTACCTTGTTCCTAATGACTAGTATATTGTGTTATTGTTTTGTTTAATTTTAGAACAACCATGTTTTAGCTGCACTTGGCTGTGTCAGTAAATACAGTATCTTTTTCTTAAAATGTAAGGACTGAACTCATTAATTTATGTAAAAGTAAAACACTACAGTAGCAGAAAATATAGCACTGGTTCCATAGCCAAAATAAGCACTATAACTTGGATGTATTTCTATTATTGCCAAATAAAAAAGCAATGGTACATCTATATTGGTGATCTATGGCTTTGTTTATTTTATTTTATTTTCTTGAGACAGAGACTCACTGTGTAGTTAAGGCTGGCTTTGAACTCACGATCCTCCTGCCTCAGCCTCCCGTGTGCTGGGATCACAGGCGTGCGCCACCATACCCACTTTATACCGCATGTTTTAAACAATGACAATGCGTCTATCTGTCTAAGCGGGAAGCTGTAATTGTTCCCCTTCGGCCCTTCGCTCTGAGAGTTCTGGGTCACAGAAGACGCCATGTCCGTCTGCAGCCTGAAGTCGCAGAGTGCTGCTTGGGTGTGGGAGCTGGATATGGCTCTTTGTGACCGACTCAGGAGAAAGGCTAGTGCAGTGTGGCTGAAGCATGAGCCGGGGCCGGGCGCAGCCTCCCTCGTCCCCCCTCGCTAAGTGCACAGACCACTCGGCCTGCGGCAGGAGGCAGAAAGGGTCCCCTGGATTTAATTTGGGTCTGCAGAGCAGTCGGCTTAGGAGCAATTCACTGCGTATTATCTAGATAAATGTATACTTGTTGGCCTTTTTTTTTTTTTTTTGGTGGTGCTGGGGCTCGAACCCAGAGTGCTGTGCTTCTCTAAAATGTTCTACCACTGAGCAACACACCCAGCTCCTTCTGTTTTTTTAATTGATGGTGGGGGGGGGTGTCTCACTATGTAGCCCTGGCTAGTGTTGAACTTGTAATCCTCCTGCCTCAGCCTCCCAAGTGCTGGGATTGTAGGTGTGCATGTGCCGCCATGCCTGGCTTAGCAAGCCCCCCCCTTTTTCGAAACAGGGTCTCACTATGTAGGTCCGGGTGGCCTGAAACTCATGGTGATCCTCCTGCCTCAGCCTCCTGAGTGCTGGGATCACAGGTGTGCACCAGGTCATGCCCAACTTAGGCTCCTTTTTAAAATGTTTTCAATTAAACATATAAACTACAGTATATTATTTCATGTGCAGATCATGTGACATGAGGTTGAGTCTTTGCCCGTCTGGATAAAGGGCTGAGAGGAGCAGAGTGGGGACCTAGCTGAGCATCTGCCATCACGCTTGCTGTCCCCTGCACTGTGAGGCTCTGAACTAACCCCACCCTTGACCCCCCTGCACCCGCTGCATGTCCACAGGGCTGGCTGCACAGGGCCCGGGTCAGCCAGCCACCCCCTCCACCCATGTCCCCTCCCCAAGCTCATCCTTCCTGGCCCGGCCCTGCTTCCCTCGAGCCTGGCTCCTGCTGGCTCTGATTGGGCTGCACACCCTGGCCTGTGGGCCAGCTGAGCACGGAGAAGAACCCCATGCTCTCTTTCCTGGAGTCAGCACAGGGAAGAACAGAGCCGAGCTTTCTTCTGTGACACTTTCTACTCTTACCTAAAAGCCACAGTAAAGCCTCTGACATCAAACCCTGCCTGGACGCGGTGCTGTGAGTTGTTTGTTCCGCCCGGCCCTGAGCCAGCTGCTTGTAGCCACCGCAGTGCTTGGACTAGAGCAGTGCCCCAGATGCCCCATCCACGCTGGACTCTGCGCCCCGGAACCCAGAAGGGCGCAGTGCGCTGTGGCAGAAGATGGGGTACAGATGTAGGTCACAAGTCAGCGCCCTCCTCTCCGCTCCCCTCCCCTGGCTGCAGACTGGGGCTCAAGTCGCCCTGCTGGCCGCTGGGGACCCAGATGTGGCGGCGCCCCTGGCTCCCAGCAGCTTGGGCACACGGGCCAGCCCTGACCCGGGAGAGGACTGCACAGACTCGAAAACCAGAAGGTGATGCTTTGTCTTCTTGCTGGCCAGATACTGCGGCAGGGAGTTAGATGATGTAGATGTTTTGATTTTGCATGAATAAGTGTACGTTCTTTGGCCAGTCTTTTGATATGGCATCAAAGCTTTTAGCTGGAGTATTCACTTGCTATTTCAAGATGGCTTTGTTACTGTAACTAAACCCGTATGGCATCATCTGGGATTTTAAGACCCTTCATGTTTTAAAAGAGAAGAAACTGGCTGGGCATGGTGGTGCACACCTGTGACTACAGCACTGTGGGAGGCTGAGGCAGGAGGGTCACAAGTTTGGGCCCAGCCCAGGGAATTTAGCAAGACCCTGACTGTCATGGCTTGTGTCTAGATGTCTGCAGAGGCTCATGTGGTCCTAGGTGGGGCTTTTCCAAGGTGGCTGGATCTAGGGTGTGTGCTCCTGGGGTCAAGGATGTGATGCTGGGATTGATTCACCTTGTGATGCTAAGATTAAGGCTGCCCCACCCTGGGTGTGAGATAAGGGACAGAGAGGGCCACTGCTTGTCACTTGTCATTTGCTCCTGCTTCCTTGCTGCTTCACTCTTTTGCTGCACCCTGCCTTCTGCCCACCATGAACTGTTTCTCCTCTGCGATGCCCCTCTGCCATGCCACCCTGCCTGAAGCAGCTGACTATGGACTGAACCTCTACAAACTGTGAGCCAATTAAACCTTTCCTCCTTTAACTTTGGGTGTCAGAAAAGTAACTAGTAACTGTCTCAAAAAGAGGTGTAGGGTTGGGAATGTAGCTCAGTGCTCAGGGTTCAACCTCCAGTGCCAAGAAAGAAAGACGGGAGGGAGGGACTCAGGTATATGAAAAACAGCCAGTCCAGATTGTTAGAAATGTGTGCCCCATTTTTCACATTTGTCTCCCCACACCCTATCCTGATGGTAGTTTTTGTGGGCTATTTGGCTTTATCATGTCTTTTCAGAGCATTCAATTTAGCTTTTATAAAAACTACAATTTTCATTTTTCTGTTTCTGTGTATTGCTTCTGGGATGTTGAAGGAGGTTGTCGTGGGCGTAGTGCACCCGTCCAGCAAGGCGAGCCCTGGGTTTGAATCCTGGCGCTGTTGGGGAAAAGCGCTGATGGGGCTCAGAGCCGGTCGGAGCCTGCGGTGGGTGTTTACGGGCACGACAGGACAGAACTGCCCTTGGGCCCAGGCCTGGGAGCAGCTACAGAGGCCCAGCTGCCGCTCCCCAGTTGCCATCAGAGTCCCGCCCAAAGCGAACCCAGAACTGGCTGAGCCTGGCAGTGTCGCCCCTTCCGGGTCACCACATGCGCTGTCTGCAGTTGGCGTCGGGGCTCGGATGTGGGGGGTTGACGAGTTGGCCCCTTGGTACTGGGGTGCCCACCAGAGCTCCTCAGCAGAGCCTGGCTCAGGCTGGCACCTGCTCTTGGGCCCAGAATTGTGAACCAAATAAACCTCCCAACGTGAGCCAGCCTCCTGCTTGCTGGCTTGTTTTTGTGACAGTGTCACTGTGTAGCCCAGGCTGTCGGCAAACTCAGGTCACCCTCCTGCCTCAGCCTCCTAGTGCTGGGATTATGTGCAAGCCCCACCCGGTCCCCTGCCAGCCTGGGGGATTTTGTGACAGTAACAAAAGAGGCAAGTGCGGAGAGGGCTTCACTTTCCTCAAGAATCCCTCCTGCTAGGCCTTCTCTGCACCGCCCCCCTTCCTGGTCCTGAAGCCCCAGCAGGCTCTGCTCCCTGCCTCCTGATCTCCGGCACAGCCTGGAGCACCGCGCGGCTCACTCACTGTTCTCCCACTGGAGGGCACTCGTGAGCGGGATCCTCGCTGTTGCGGGGACCTTGGTAGGTGACACTGACGTCCCCTGAATGAGAAGACCCAACCCCACAGCTGGGGAGCCTGGGGGGACCAGCGGGGCGGTTACAGACCACATGAGGAGGAGGGCCGAGGGCACCTAGGGTGGACGCGCCTTGGGAGGAAGTGACACGGAAGCGGGGAGTCGGGGAGGGAGGCAGAGGGAGTCTGTGCAGGGGAGTGGGTTGTGCAAAGGCCCTGCGGCCAGGATGAGCCAGCCAGGGCAAGGGACTGAAAGCCGCGTGCTGGGAGAGACCCTGTCTGGCGCTCCGCCTCCAAGCTAGGTGAGCGGCCTGGTCCACAGCGGAGGAGAGTGGCTGCCACTCACAGGCCTTCTCCCAGGGGACAGGCTGGGCACAGCGGAGGGCCGGCCAGGAGGACCAGGCCTTCTGGGAGCTCAGCCGGGCCTGGCCGCCCACAGTGACCTGCGGTGTGGTAGGCGGCGGGTGGCGGGCGGGGGCCTCTCGGGTGGGTGCCTTCCCGAGCTTAGAAGTGGGGGTTTGCTATGAGTTAAGAAAAGGTGAAGCTGGGCGTGACGAGGACGCAGACCCCGAATCCCAGCGCGCTAGAGGCCGAGGCAGGAGGCTCACAGGTTCGAGTCCAGGCTGGGCAAGTTCGCCACTTAGGGAAACCCGGCCTCAAAATATAAACGGGCTGGGGGGGGACAAAGGGCCTGGGCTTGGTCCCCAGTGACACACACACACCCCGAAGGTGGAAGTTAATACAGAAAAGTCCCTCCTCCTCCACCTGCAACTTTTCTGTCAAATCTTCCGTGGCCTAGAAGGGGGGAGCCGCAGGCAGGTGTTGCCTGGGCGGCCCGCTGCTGTCCCGGCGGGGGCCAGGCCGCCCGGGCACTGCTTTGGCGCGGGTAGTGCAGGAGCGCGCTCCAGGGCCGGGCGGCGGGGCGGGCGGGACAGCTGCGCGAGGAGTCAGGAATGCGCGGCCGGCGGCGCCGGGACTTTTATGGAAGCACGGCCGGCGCGGCCTGGGCGTTCGGCTCGGCTCGGCTCGGCTCGGCGGACTCGGCGGCGGGTGAGGCGGCGCCCGGGGTCGGGGGCTCAGAGCCGGCGTGGCTGCACCCGCTGGGAGGGAAGGAACCGCGCGGAGAGGTCGGTGGCTTTGCGGGGACTGAGGTGTTCGTTTCGCGTTTGTTAAAGGTCGCGGGGACGGGGAGTCGGGGAGAGGCCGGGAGCAGCGGGACCCGGGGACCGAACCCCGGCCGGAGGGGAGCAGCCGGGCCGGGGACCGAACCCCGGCCGGGCCGGCACCGCCGGTTTCCTTTGGGACGAAGCCAACTGAACTGTTCATGCCGTCTCAGTCGCACGGCATTAAGTGGACCACACAATTTTCCCTTTCGGGATTGCCTACCCTTTCACTGGTTAAATTGCTGCGATTAATCAGTCAAGATAATCGTT